TATTTTTTTTTTTTTTTTTTTTTTTTTTTTTTTTTTTTTTTTTTTAATTATTAGAATCAAGTAAAAATGAAACATAGCAAATTTTTATTAAATGTTTATATTTTTTCTTTATTTTTTCTACTAAATAACAAAATAAAATGCCAAACATTTTTACCAGTGTCTTATCCAACACATCACTTATATTCGTTTGAAAAATTAACACCCCATGATATAAGAAGTAATTTAAAAAGAACAATATCAAATTTTATAACTACAAAATTAGAAAATATTAAAAATAAATTCCAAAAAAATGATAAAAATAATGATATAAAAAATGAATATGAAACATCTTTAGAAGATCAAATAAAATCACTACTGCAACAAGCAAAAAATAAAAGAACTTTATCTAAAAAAATAAAAGAATCATATGATCGTGCTTTAAAAAATTTAAAAAAGAAACAAAGCGGAGTTGATGAAGAAAAAATAATAAAAATTCTAGAACATAATTTAGAACAAATAAATTACCTTAATAAAAAATCCCATTACTTAGAAAAAAAAGCAGAATATTTAAAAAAAAACTTAGAAAATACAAATAATGAAAATTCTAAACAAAATAATAATTGTAATATTTCCAAAACTGGAAAATTAAAGTTTGTTACTTCATCTAATGGTTTAAAACATTCTATTAATAATGTTCAAGGAAATATTAACCAAAATGGTTTTACAATATTTCATAAAAATAAAAAAAAAATGATGTACTATTGGAATATTATTGAATTACCTATTAAAGTTATCGGAAGTATTGAACAATGTTTTTTTTTTATTTACAGAAATAATAATCAAATTTTCTGTACAGATAATAAACTAAAAAGTCATTCGTGGATAAATAGTTTGAGTGAAGCATCTCTTTGTTATAATTTTGGAATTAAAGGAATTATAATAAATAATAATATTATCAATGATAAATTAATTAAAAAAAATAAAATTAATGAAAATATTTTAACTGTTGATATTAAACCTGAAGAAAACTCAACTCGTATTTTAGTTAATGATGTAGAACAAAAATTAGAAAATAACAATGGTGTAATTAATTTAAATAAAATTAAAAAAAAAATTGAAGATGAAAAGAAAATAAACAAAAAATCAGAAATAATTAATGGGATTAACGATAAAAAAGAGAGTCAAAAAGAAAATAGTGATGAAAATAAAGAAAATGATAAAAATAAAGAAAATGATAAAAATAAAGAAAATGATAAAAATAAAGAAGATGATAAAAATAAAGAAGATGATGAAAATGAAGAAGATGATGAAAATGAAGAAGATGATGAATAAAGAAAAAAATACACTAAATTATATAATTAAAGATATATATATATATATATATATATATTGTATTAATAAAAAAATTAAAAATATATTTAGAAAAAGTATTTATATAAACAAAAAAAAAAAAAAAAAAAAA